TGAGTGTTGGATAATTCTTGCTGGATTTTCGACGAACAAACCTATTAATTTGTATCATTTCCGTCTATTACTACTTTTTCATCAACAACTATTTGGGTAATTTGTATACTGTTACAACACCAACTAGCTATTCTAGTAAGGGATCGATCCCCATAATAGGAAATAATATTCAGCCTCATTGCGTAAGTCGTAAATTAGGCTAAATTGTACGACTCGACAACAGCAGCATTGTCTATTGTCGTACTGAAATAAGTAAACGACCAAAATCGTCGAAAACTATACAGTACTGCCAAGTTTTTCCATTTTAATACACTACCGTTTTAATACGATTCGACTTTCGAAAAACAACTTGCATTTGAGACGACCGAGCTTCTCCTCCGATTTGTGGCGTGCGCCTTGATGTTGTAACACATATNTTTTTCCATTTTAATACACTACCGTTTTAATACGATTCGACTTTCGAAAACCAACTTGCATTTGAGACNTATGCCGACTATGAACGGCGGTTGTATTTTTATGAGAAGCTGTTTTTCATGGCAGAAATGCACTCGGAGATTTGCCATTGCCCGTCGAAGGACGACCGCTGCTAAGAAAAACTTTTCTAATTTTTTTTTGCGATGTTGCTTTGACCAGGGCTTGAACCCAGGCGCTGGCGAGTGGAAGCGAGCACTGCTTACCACTACACCGCAGCGGCCGTACAATAGGAAATAGCCACTAATAAAATGTGTATTGCATAAAACGATGTGGGGAATTATAATTCTGTGAAATACATCACACTCAATCAAAAAGGGAATTTTGCATTTTTTGGGTAGTTACGGCTTTTTGTATTTTATCGACGATGTGAGATAAGGCCTTTTTATATTAAGGTGATATATACTTTGTATATATGAGCAGATTATTAAGCAAATACACTTTCTGATTTTAGTTTTGTAATTTTACGTTCCTCTAACTTATACGAATTCAATATTTTAAATAGTTAATGGAATTCTTTAATAACTACTGTATAGCTGCATATATACAGCTTATTTCTTCTTTTTCTTTCCGTCGTCACCAATACTTGCCGGCGGCTCGATATTACGTGGTTTTTGCCAATTCAAAGGGTGTCGGCGGTAAATTGGCCACGGTGGAATAGTGATCTAACAAAATTTGTACATAAAACAGTATGTGAACAATATTCATTACTGGGAGGAATTCATCATAATACTTACAATAGATGCCAACAAAAATCCTGCGCCCAGAATATAGACAGTTTGTGAAAATTGTTGAATGATAGCACCCCAAATCAGTCCCACGATACCAAAAAGTGTTATGATGAAGCGAGAGAACTTCTCAGCCTTGTACTGACCCTCATAGTCCTTGTATAGAGAAAATAAGTTGATCATTATTTTTCCATGCAAACAAATAACCTTATTTAAAGAGTACCATATGAGTTTGTATATTAAACATTTTATTTTACGGCTTTAAGCTTGTTTTTGACTACGTTGACAACTTCCGTACAAATTAGAAATGGAAAAATATCGACGATACTATCGATATATCGATGGATTGTGTTTTCAAAAAATACCATCGGTGTTTTCAAACTATCGATACTGGATCGAATGAATTAAAACAAAGCAATTGCTTTTCTTAAAATTGCATACCTTTCACTTCAATTTTCTTTGAATAAATCGAGTAAAGTGTAAGAAATTAAAAAAAAAGCAATTGCTTATTTTTTATTCATAGGGCCCACTATCGGCTGTATTGTAAAAGGCCGTTCGTACTAGACGATTTTGCGTTCAACTCACGCAGTAATGCACGAAAGAAAGGTTGAATGGTTAAATGTTGGCTGGCGACCAACTTTGTTGAAAGCAATTAGTTGAAAGGCCCTTAAACCAAAAGTAGAATGCAAGTAGAAGAATGAAAACGCCTTTTTTTGGCGAATATTTTGATATTTTTTATATATTTTGATATCTTTAGCCATTAATTTTTTTCGTGCAATCCTGCGCGAGGTGAACGCAAAAGTTAAATTTTCTAAAAAATTAATAGCGCTTGTTTTTAAAGCACTTGCATCAAGTTACAACCGCGACTCTTGCATTGCTATCTTCATCGTCATCCGGCACCTCAAGATCTGTGTCACAAACCTTTTGGTATGGTACAAATTTCAAGTATATTCACTTTTCAAATATTAGGGACCTGTGCTAACAATAATTCGTGTATACAATTACTTAGGCGCATATTCATAGTCATACATAGTACTCAACTAAGTCGAAACTATTCTAAGTCACAACTAAAGCTATTCGTAGTCGCCTTAGTTTCGACTTTTCTGGCCTTACCAACTTAATATTTAGTTTCGGCTGCAGCTGCAACTAAGTCGTAATAGGAAGAAGTATTTTATCAAATTAAGGGAAAACAGACGAAATATGTAAAAATTAAGTTGGTAGAGGGTGATTTTGATAATATTGAATAATCTCCATTTAAAATTTACAAAGATCGATCCATTTTATTCAGAGNTTTACAAAGATCGATCCATTTTATTCAGAGGATGAAATTAAATGCGTATTACAATTCGAATAAAGCTAAATCACAAATTTATAATTGGAATAATTTAGAAAAATTCTTAAATAATAAGTCAGTTTCACGCTAGTTCTTTTAAAGTAAATTTGTGCATAACATTTCGATATCTACTATTTGTATGTTCCACAGCATGCTTTCGATAAACATCGACTTCACATCACTGCGATTGTTCTGGCTATTTCACACAATTAACAAGAAAATTATACCTTTTTATTTTGCATAATCATGCAATAAAAACAAAAATTACATAAACCGATGATCAAACTTGACATTACTTAATAAAAATGTAATTTTTCCAAAATATCGTAAAGAAAAATCGATAAATTTTCACACTCGTTTTGCTATATCGTAAACCAAGTCAAAACTACTTGGTAGAAGTCTGAAATGCGACTATGAATAGAGGTAAATTTTAGGTTGGTACTTAAGTTTAAGTTGCTACTTTGTTAGTTTCGACTTAGTTGCTGGACTATGAATACGCGCCTTAGTTTTTAGTTATGTTTGAGTGTAATAAATTTATATTAAAAGATATTGTGTTAAAATTTATTTTAAATACGTAAAACGCAGTATTTTCTAAGTTTACATACACATCCGATAACGAAAGTCGAGGTAAAGAAGAAATAAGTCAAGCAGTTTCTTCAATGATAATCACGGATCTTCAACCGTCATTGAGCCGAATGATGGAGCATTTATTAATTTATTTATCCCCAGTTTCATTAATAAATTTGAAAATTCCTCATACTGTTAAAATTTAATATGACACATTTTCCAAACAAAATTTTGTAATTTTAAATTTCAGCGGGCTGATAAATCTAAAATTGATTGTTCCCACCTGGCATCAATGTTACAGATCCTATATTTCTGCCATCAAAAACAGAGCTTTATATTCCTTATAATATAACATATCTTTGCAGTCCAGTATCGTCTGTGGAGTCAGAGAGAGTTTTAAGTTCGACTGGATTAACTATTAATAACAGGCGAACTCTGGAAAATCTTTTTTTCAGAAGAATGTTTAAACAAACGAATAAAGATAAAAAGGATATGGTACATTTAGCTTATCAAAGCTAAATCTTTTAATAAAATTTAAATTTTTCTTATAAATTAAATATGACCGATAGTATCGATATATCGATGGTGTTGGTCAATACTATCGGCAAATATCGATAGTTACTACTACAGATAGTTTTACACCTCCAGTACAAATCAGACAGCTGCTACTTCTTTTTCCGGCTTGTAGTCACAATAGTAACTAGGATTGAAACGATACGAGCAGTGTTACCACAATTAGTCTTTTCCGACCCAATTTGGTCCCTTCTTTTTCATTTGTTAAACTATGTTCACATATCAGTATTATCCCAATCAAAGCTCGTTTTTTAATCACCCCGTTTACACAGGCAAATCTCAGATTATTAGCCATCAAATTTATTGTGCTTGTTATTCTCACATCTCAAGGAAAAGTTGTGTTTCTTCTCTGTGCCACCGTGATCACGTTTTTATGCTATAATAAGCAATATAAATATATTTTAACTTAACATTTTATTAAAAATACCTTTACAAACCTCTTTTCCTTGCTAGCGTACATTTTTGTTTACTTTTACATTTGGCATTTCTCCTCTCTTTCGCAAAAACAATCGATAAAACTAGGATGGACACCGAAAAGTTATCGGTTAAATCTGAGATTATTTTATAATTACAGATTAACAAGGGACGAATTTTATATGGCTAATCTCTTGTTATAATTACAGATTAGGGTGTTAAGCTCGAAAATGAGGATAATCTACTTATATGTGAACCTAGTATTAGGTTGGTAGGCAAAGTAAAACTATGTTCACATATCAATATTATCTCAATCAAAGCTCGTTTTTTAATCACCCCGTTTACACAGGCAAATCTCAGATTATTAGCCGTCAAATTTGTTGTGCTTGTTATTCTCACATCTCAAGGAAAAGTTAT